GATATTCTTTGAATTAATAAGGTGAGAAATGAATTTAATGCTTCAAGGGAAACACAGTATACCAATCCTGCGAATTATTTTTAGAAAGCGTGGGCTATCTTATCCCATCCTTCATCAGAAAATTTAATTGGCTGTTATTTCCTCTTTTTCCCAATCACCTTTTATGGCAAAGAGAAAATGGGAACGTACAGTGGCTTATAAACCAGTCCTCATGAACACCAAAAGAGGGGTGAGGCCAGTCAGAGTGTTTTCCTCAGAGGTCCTGAAGACAGTGTCTTAATAAATTCGACATTAGTTTCTTGGAATTTGGACACCTACATGCCAATGCTAAGTGTTCTAATGTCGAAACTCTAATTGTGAATCTTGCTCCTGTGGAGAATCCTGCAACTGTCGGTCAGTTATCTCCAAGTCCATCGGAGCGCAGCCAGCTCCACACAGACCTTTGGTACGAGGTGGGGCAGCTCTCACAACCTGGGCTTGCTTCTTCCTTCTCAAGATTCTGCAACGGGAGGCTGGGCAGACCTTTGCATTTTATATTGGAAACACACCTCGCTTCTGTCCACAGTAAAAGAGAACTGGGACACTGCTTTGGAAGCACAGTTTGCCCATATAAAATTGTGGCTAAGCGAGTTCGGTTTCTCTGAAATAGCATGAAGAGTAATTTATTTTTGTTCAAAAGGTGTTTTTATCTATTGTAGCTCTCGACTCACAAACACATTTAGTATGTCCTCTTTTCTTCCCTCCACTGACAAATATATGAACGTACCTCTCTCTCTCTCTCTCTCTCTCACACACACACACACACACACACACACACTCTTTTGTCTAAACCTAAAACACTGTCTACTTTTGGCATTCTTTGGTTGGAGATTTCATCAGGCATGTTTACATCCGAATGCTCACTGATCCCAACCTGGCCTCACTGCGGTATCCTAGCTACCTGGGCCATCAGCTCCCAAACGTTTCAGCTTTCTCTTTCCTCTCTGCTGGGAAACACCCCAGCCTACACCAAGAGAAAAATAACTCAGGTGAATGTGGAGTATGAATAGTTACATCCTTTGCTTTCTTGGCTGACACATGCTTTCAACAAAACTCTATGGGATTGAAAAAGACATATTTAAAAAGAATCCTGGTGGCCAAGCCTGGGGCTCACCTGTAATCCCTGTGATTTGGGAGCCTGAGTAGAAGAATGCAAGTTTGAGGCCAGTCTTGGCAACTTATCGAGAGCCTATCTCAGAATAAAAAGGTCTGGGGATGTAGCTCAGTGGTAAAATGACCCTGGGTTCAACCCCAATATCAGAGGGCAGGGAGAACTGGCTCTAATTGTGCACCAGATACAAAATTAACACAAAATCGATCAAAGACCTAAATGTAGGTGCTAAAACTAGAAAGTTCTTTAAAAAAAAAATTAGAAGGGAAAGTTTCATGACATTGGACTTATCTGTGACTTCTTGGATGACATGAAAACATAAGCCATGTACGAAAAACAGATTGGATTTCATCAAAATTAAGCTTTTCTGCATCAAAGGACTCATAAAGAGAGGAAAGATGTACCCCATGGTGTGGGAGAAAATATTGCAAATCCTGTCTGATGAATAATTACTATCCAGAATATATGAAGAACTCCTACAAGTCAAAACAAAAACAGCAACAACCAAACTGAAAAATAGGCAAAGGGCTTGAATAGACATTTCTCCAAAGGAGATCTTTACATGAACAATAAGTGCCTGAAAAGTTGTTCAATGTTAGTGATCATTAGGGAAATGTCAATCAAAGCCACAGTGATAGTTATCATTGTAATGAGTTTGAAATAATCTATCTCAAAACAAAACTAAAAAAAACCATTGTGACAGGTATGTGCAGAAACTGGACCCTTGTACTTTCAGTTGGGAATATAAAATGGTGCAGCCACAGTGGAAAATACTAATGGTGGTGCCTTAAAAACAAATGATTTCCAACAATGGAAATATCACAGCAACTCCATTACTGGGAATGGACCCAAAATAATTTAAAGCAGGACTCAAGTAGATATTTGTACACCAATGTTCATGGTAATGTTATTCACAAAAGTGAAAAAATGGAAACAACCCAAATGTTCATTGATGAATGAATGGATTAACAAAATGTGGTACATACATAAAGTGGAACCTTATATATTTTTAGATTCTATAAATCTTGGAGACACTGTGCCAAGTGAAATAGGCTAGTTACACACAAAAGGACAAATGATCCCACTTATATGAGGTATCTAGAGTGTTTAAATTGACAGAGATACAAATCAACATGGTGGAGGAAGGGAGGGAGAAACAGGGAGTTACCAATTAATGGGTGCACAGTTGCAGTTTGGGAAGATGAAAAATTCTAGAGATGATTAGAGATGTTTGCACAGTAATGCAACTTAATGCCACTGAAATGTATAACTAAAGATAGTTAAAAGATAAATTCTGTAGATATTTTGCCTCTTCACACACAAATCCAGGAGAGTCAGGAAGATTAATATATAGAATTAAAGGGAACAAGGAGTACAGCTTTCCAAGAGAAAATGGAAACATGATCACAGGAAAATGATCTTTCAGTTTATGCAGTTATACAATTTTAACATTCCTGGTTGGGCAGTGGTAATAGGATCAATGAACATTCATGAATTTAAATATTTACTTTCTAAATGTGCTTGTTGTGTCCTGAAGTTTGAAAACTTGATAAAAATTTGTGTTCAGTGCAGGTGTGAATTTTTAGTGTGTTTGTGTGTGTATGTGCACACGCATGCATACACACATGTGCATAGTTTTGGGAACAAAGGTGCCAGGTAAGGGAGAGGATTAGGCAGTAATAATCTTGGAATCTATCATTTTAAGAATCCATTCATGCTAGGCACAGTGGTGCTTGAGTGAAATCTCAGTGACTCAGGAGGCTGAGGCAGGAAGATTGCAAGTTTGGAGGTCAGCCTCAGCAACTTAGCAAGACCATCAGCAATTTAGCAAGACCCTGTCTTCAATTTTTTTTTTTTTTTAAAGGACTGGTGGTGTAGTTCAGTGGTAAAGTGCCCCTGGGTTCAATTCCCAGTTAAAAAAAAAAAATCTAGTCATGATTCTGTCTTTGAAGCCAGAGACCAAGCTTTCCCTTGCTTTGGGGGTCCTCATCATTTGGTACTTTATCTACTACTTTTGAATTACAGAATATTGGAGCTGAAAGAAGACTTCTAGGTCATCTTGAAGGATTTCCCCCATTGTTTTACTTTTATATTTTTTAAAAAAATGATTAGCTTAAAACAAAATTTCCTAATATTTAGTGTTAAGAAATGTTTCTCTCCTAAACAGATGGTGTTCAGTGCACATCATGCAGTTCACAATTCAGTGCAGCCATCGATAAAATCTTTATTGGTATCTTCAACACCTCATGCACACGTGTGTGTGTGTGTGTGTGTGTGTGTGTGTGTGTGTGTGTGTGTGTAGCTTTTTTTCTTTAACTGAAAAATATCCACAGAGGACCTGAGGTTCAAGTTGGGCCTCTCACTTCAAAGAAGAGCACAGGGCTAGAGAAGTCAATGACCTATCCAAGGGCATGTATTTTTGATTTAGTTTGTCTGGATCTACCAACTGGATATGAAGCTTCTCAAAGACAATAAAAAGACCTTCTTTTGTTGTCTTGACACACAACCCACAGTGGTGGTAATAATACCACGAGAACGAACGTAAGCTTCACCCCTGTTTTTTCCTATGGATAGATCCAAGAGACTGCAGTTGACATGTGGGGTGGATGGGGTGCTGCTGTCTTCTATTTAGTCCACCTGAGTTTGGCCAGGGGTAGGGCATATAAAGGAGAAGGAGTAGGCTTTTCTTTTCAAGGTTTCCATAGAAATATTTATGGTTTTAAACCTTAAATTGGTAATACTTGTTTTTTTACATATGTTCATAAAAATTAACATTGTCACATATGATGGGTGGGGACAGGTGGAACAGTGAGTATAATTTGATGTTTCTAGAAGACAGTTTGACCACATAAAGAATTTTACAGTGATAGTTCGTTCTTGTTAGCCCAGTGATTCCATCTGCAGAAACTTATAATCAGAGACGCGAGCTAAGATTTAGACCCAAGTACATTCACTATGATGGTATTTACTATATAGTGCAATGAATACATAATATGTATTTATGCGTAATATAATAAATATAAATATTCAATATGGATGGCTTATAAAAATACAGCACTGCCATAAACTTAGGATATCTAATGTTTTCTATCACGTTAACTTGCTAAATAATACTTAAAAGACACATAAGAAAATTAAACAAATCAACAAACAAAATAGGAATAAATATGCTGTAATGTTGATTGTAGTTATCTTTAAATTATGAGATGTTTTATATTTTTCTATAATTTCCATATTCTTTATTTTTTTTCTTCTTATAAAAGAAAGAAAAAAACATTTCAAAGGGGAGAAAAAAGAGTTAGCTCTGAGTCCCTGAATTCAAAGAACCAAATCTAAAACCCAGACTAGAAGATACAAGAAAAAGGGACCTGCATTGTTTGGCGGGGCTGCTGAGCAGGGCAGTGTCGCAAGAGCCCTTCCCTGACACACAGGGACCTGTGGCCTCCACTTCCTGGAGCTGGGTGAGGGCTGAGGCCGCGGCTGGGGAGGTGACATTGGCAGAGCTACTCTCTTGTTCTCCCCTTCCTGTCTGAGCACATCTCTTTCTTTGGGATTGGAGTTAAGAGCCATATTTATAAGCCTCACAAGTTATTCCTTGTCTCTTCGCTCCTAAGATGTTCACACAGATAGCAGCAGTTGTTTCCTCAGAGGCCACAAGAAGTAAAGTGTACCAAAAACTAAGGACTTACATTGTGGGTTCAAAGTGTCTGAGCATGATGTGCAATGCACCACTAATGCCGTCACATAAACACATGCCGGGACACGCTGCCTAGGCAGCAGATAGCTGGTGGAACAGGAGGAGGTTTTATGTTTTTACTTAAGTGGAAAGGATGCTGGGATGTGTACTCACCAAAAGCCACCAATTCAATAGGTCTGTTCCTTTAGAAGATGATGGGCAGGTAAATTCAGGCAGCTTGCTTGCTTGAGAGTTGTCCGTTCAATTTTTGGAGTGCCCTTTGAGGCCAATCCTAAAGGGTTAAGAGAGAAAAACAAATGTTAGAAATGTTTTGTATGCCACCAAGTTTCGTAGGTGAAATTGGGGGACCATGTTCTTTAGAAATGAACTAGCATTACTCCAATGAGCATGTTCTCTACAAACCAAGAACTATAACCCTCTTCAAGGATGGCCTTGAAGAAATGGGAAGTAGTGATCAGAAAGTGACCAGTTTCTTCCACTTGATGTATATTTCTCTTTAGACACCCATGACTTCAAGATAGACATAGTGTTGACGAAGGAATACAGACGTAGCCTCTATTTTATGCTCAAAGACTCACAAAAAGAAGAGCTCATATCCTTTATAGAGATAAAAATATCTAGTTCCTGGGCCTCCCCACTCCACCTGGGGGCTTATGTTCTACATCACTAATAGATCATCATACTCATCCTCCAGAATCCAGAGAAGGCCCCCCAAACCACTGAGACAAGGACTTCAGGTATTGACCTCCAATTACTCAGAGCTGTTATGAAAGTGACTTACTATTCTGGTCTAAAATGCACAGTTAAGACTCTTCTGAGGATGCTTTTTGCAGAGAGAGGGCTATGAAAATATTACTTGAGGTTCTAGGATAATCTTAAAAGTCAATTTGCAGAAAATGGTCCAATCAAGGGGACCTAAAGGTTAAAAGTATTTTAGATAAAGCATTAGAATATACCTTCAGCTCAAAATTCAACTTTAATTTCCTATCTGGAAATACCATCTACCTGACCCTCCCACCATGAAAGCCAATTGACAGTGTGTGTCCAAATGCCCAGGGCTCAACACGGCCCTGTGAGAGCAGCGCCAGCCTGGGAGCTAGAAGAATAGTTTTAATTCTAAGTCAGCCGTGCCCTTGCTCCGTGACCTTGGCAAATGTCATTTGCCAAACCATAGTTCCCTCCCTCCTCGAAAGAATAAAGGAATTGGATTAATCATAGTTTTTAGACAGCTTTTGTTTTTGTGTGATTTTATTTCGCTTTGATTTTTAGTTGTAGCACCTATTTTTCCACTGGAAATTTACCTAGGTGTATAAACCAACCAAACAGAAGCCTGGTTGAAGTGGAGGTGGGTGATGATGGGACGCCTCCATCACCCCACTGTGGTCCATGGGGTCACCCATCATAGGGCCACCACAGGGCAGCACAGGGCCTTTAGGCCTCAACAGAGCACAGCTCAGAACCCCTGGGTTAAATGCCCTCTAGAGTCAGTTACAAGTCAAAATTATTCAGCCATAATGATCTTTACTAGAATGATCATTTCTTAGTAGGATCCATAACCTCATGGAAACATAAACAATAATCTGAACCAGGACCTAGTCTTAATCCTTATCATCGATGATCTCCTCAAAGGGGTGGGGAGAGTCACAACCTCAAATTACAGAGCGGTAACTGTTAATTTACTTTTCAAGTGTATGATCCTGACCCAGCACTGAGACGGATGATTCCTGAAATGCAGCAGCTCACATAGTACCTAATAGCCAGCATCACAGTGTGACCAAAAGTATGAAAATGAAAACGCAAATTACAAGGTGCATCTTAAAATTAGCTGTGTAATGTCAAGACAGAGGGACAAAATTAGGCTCCTACATCACTCATTTACTAGGTAGGTGAATCTCGACAAGTTTATTCAAGCTTTTTTGACCCTCCATAAAATGGAGACAATTCAGCACCATTCCTGGCTCATACTATGTGTGCAGAGTTCTGGATTTTTCTCTTGATATAGTGGTAAAGTTCCCCTTTAAAAATGTAATGGCATGGTAATGGACATAGATTCAATGAATCGAAAGCAAATTATTACTGTGTAATGAAACACAGGATTCATATAGTTTGGTGCTATATCATAATAAGAGAAAGAAAGATCACTGATTAGCTATGTAAGTAGCAATTATTTGCTTAGGCTCAATTGCGTATTTCCAGAAAAATCTGATTTTCCAGAATGACTCCTAACACAATCTATTTCATAAAAATTTTAATGCTACTGTTTTTAAGCTACTGTTTTGTCAAGAACCTTCCAATGAAACCCACATGTCACATCCCTCCTGACACAATATTGGGTACCCTAGAGAAACCCAGTTTGAGATTTTACTGTGGAGGGAAAAAAAAAACTTTTATGTCTTACAAAAGTCACCCAGTGGGTAGGAAATAGGTCACTAAGACCTGAGCGGTAAATTCCTAGGGAACTGTGGTTTCCAGAGATTAACTGGTTTCATTATTCAGTCCAGCCCGACTTTACACCCTGTACTGTGAAGCTGCTATGGACATTGCTCACTGTATCACCGAGTCTTCAAAAGACCAAATGGGGAAAATTTTGTAGATTTCAGTAAAGGGAAAAGCTACAGTGGGCAGAGAAACTGGTGTCTGTCTTCATTCTTCCCGCATGTGAATCTCAGAGCTGCTCAGGGCTCCCTCTGCATCATGTGGCCGGATCTGAGGGCCAACATTTGTTGGATGCTCATGGCACCATCTCCACTGACCTGACCTGTTTTGGTTGTTTTGGGAGGGGTCCCTCTTCTTTCTGTGTCTTCTCATACCCATACATAGATTGAAAGCTGTTTCAAATCCATGAGATTAATAAATGCATTTTTTACCAAAGGTCCCTTCAGACTAAGGTCAAGTCACGTTCTGTGCTCTGTTCTCTGCTCTCAGTCACAAGCTGGACTAAAAGTATATTTCTCGTCCCTGCCTTCCACTGAGGAATAAAATTTCCACTTCTTGAAAACAGATTATTAAAGATAAACTAATGGCCCACTCCCAGGGATGCTAACTAAAGTATATAGGCTTAAAGCTACCAGGAAGAGGGATGAGGGTCAGACGACAGATTCCTAGTTTCCACTCTGCCCTTGGATCATCTGACCTAGGACATGCCACCAAACTTCCTTAATAAGGCCTAAAGTTGCTGGCTCCTCCTCCAGTCTGACCTGGTGCCATTTTCCTCTCTACACCTGTTGTTCCCAATGCTTCCTGTCCCCCGAATCCTTTGGCTTAGCCAGCTTGTACTCAGCTGTAAATTTCACTCCTAGAAAGCCATCCCTGAAGAGATCCCCACACTGTCACATAATCCCTCCCAGCACTCCTCACAACACTGGGTAGATCTTATGACATGGCTGGTTTATCCCTACAGAGACTGCTAAGGTCATCTGTAGTCAGTTTAATATTCTATTAGGGGAGAATGGAGATCTGTCTTACAGTTATAACCTCAATGTCTCAAGCCCACAGTAGGTGCTTAATTAATTGTTTAATTAATATGAGATGGACTACATTTATAATGGTAAGCACATAACTTTAAAATTGTCATTTATAGTTCATATCATGTTTTTATTCAAAAGTTACTTCTCTGTTTCATAAGAATAAAAAAGTGAAATTTCACCAATATTTTCATTTCTGGGACTAGGGATGATCACTTGCCTAGCATGTGTGAGGCTCTGGGTTCAAGTACTGGAACAAAAAAAATTTTTTTTTAAATTTCTGGTATTTCTAGAAGTATATATTCTAGTGTCTAGAATATATATAATTAAGGGTAGAATTTAGCCTACTTGTAAGGTATCATTAATGGATTTTTTCCAAAGCGCAAATGCTTTTATCCACTTGGCAACATTAAAAAGAAGAAAAAAGAAAAAAAAATCTTCAAGGAAAATAGATGTTCTGGATTTATCTCCTTTTACAGCTGTTGCCATGTGATACCAAATCAGTTATGGAAAAAGAAACCTTCTTAAAAGAGTGCTAGACTTGACACTGAGGAATTTTAAAGTATATTGCCCCGAGACATTCAAAAGGAATGCATCCTGAAAGGTTCCCAAACCACCTCATCCAACTGTGCCACATCCGAGTCTCTCTTGACATGAACAGATAAAAGATCAAGTCTACACCAAATTGGGACGTTATGTGGCCAGGCTAGACTTGGTTACACTAAGTCTTAATAATATTAATAGTGGTAATATCAGGTAATGTTTTTTGCATGTTTATTCTATTCCATGAACTATCCATAGATACCACCATCTTATTTAATTGTTGCTATAACCTCTAGGATTTCACTCACTCTGGAGAAAAGGGGAACTGAGTCACAGCAGCACAGGGAGGCCACCCAACTGCTAGGATCTCTTAGCTGAGTGTCATGAAGCTGGGATTCAAACCCAAGGTATGAGAACAGAATCAGTGTTCTTAATTACTATGTTCTGTGGGAGAATCCAATTGCTTCTGCACCCATTTGGAAGAGTAGAAAATTATAATTTGTGCTATAAAAAAGTTACCAATGGCTAAAATTTGGATCATAAATGTCCCCCAAAGGCTTATATATCAAAGGCTTAGTCCCCAGCCTATAGTTCTCCTGGGAGGTGGCGGAACCTGTAAGAGGTGGGACTTTGTCCTGGGTCTTGGTAAAGGCCAATGGGGCATGCCTTTGAATGGGACAGTGGGGTCCCAGACCCTTCCTCATCCTTTCCTTTTGCTTTCTGGCTATGAGGTGAGCAGCTTTGCTCCACCAAAGGCTCTCCACCTTCATGTGCTGCCCTACCACAGGCCCAAGGTAACAGGGTCAATCAATCATGGACTGGAACCTCCAACCAGGTGAGCCAAAATAAACCTTTTTTCTTTGTCAGTTGATTAACTCAGGCAGTTGGTACAGTAACAGAAAGCTAATGCATAAGCGACTCTATATGTACAGATAAGTTAGAACTAAATGGCAAATCCATGGATTAAGACCCACCATCTTGGGGCTGGGGTTGTGGCTCAGGGGTAGAGTGCTCGCCTAGCCCTGGGTTCGATCCTCAGCACCACATAAAAATAAATAAATAAAATAGTATTAAAAAAAAAAAAAGACCCACCATCTAAGAATTATTTCAAAAGCCCCAAATATTCAAACTTAAACAGTAAAAACTAAACATAGGAATTCAATTCCTGGGGTGAAGAGTAGAGAATGTCAGTTGCTCACAAGTACCATGGAACCAGAAATACTTGATATTCCAATTGTTCCTGAGATTCTTAAAAAGCCAAGAC